GAAGCATACTGCGTATGCAGGTCATAAACAATCTTGTAAATGATAGGTTTTCTTTATAGGGACATATTTGTATAACAAAATGAAATTACATTCAGCAGTCTGATTTGCCTACTAGGGATGTCACCATTTACCACATTTTACCAGTGATACAGTATTTATTCTGCACATAAATGAGGCTGAGATGGCCATTTTACAATGAAATTGCAATGCCTCCCTAGGGAGACTATGATTTTAAATAGATTTATCACTAACAGGATTAATAATTTTTTTAATTTATTTTTTAATGGAAAAGAATAAAAAAAGGTTGTGTCCCCTTCCTAATACTACCAGCCTGCCACATAAGGGTGATAGCAGGAGAGAAGCAAGTGTGTTGTAGTCTGCTGTGCGGATACCAGCCCACAAGTCAAATTCTGCTCATAACAACTTGCATCATTAATGTGAATGGGAAGCATTTACAATTAGAGCACCAGGGGCCACAATTGTAACAGGAGCATATGCCTCTGAGTTAACAAAAAAAAATAGCAGTCACACTTTAAAGAGTACACCACTGGAGAAAAAAGAAAATCATCTCTGGGTGAACAACATACATTTCAGGGATTTTAACAAGCTTTGTTGCAGATACCATCCTGTTTCTGCTCTGAAGAAAAGCTTTTTGCCATTTGGACAATAATAAAAAATGGGAAGAACTGGTTCATTATAATCAGCTGGTGCACTCTTTGTGTTCTGATAAGAAAAGCTGCAGTATCAGAGTCCCTCTAGATGTATTTAGCCCTTTAACCGAAACTAAAATTTCTACTGCAGAAGATTCATAAAATCTATCTTGTATCTTAGCGCAGACTTCTGAGAAAATCAGTGAATCATAGACACTGACAGGAAATTACATTTCTGGAAGAGTTTTGCACACCAACTGTCTGCACAACACCTCAAGGTTGTCATTTGCATTGAATTTTACAGAAACTTACAGCAGCTGCAGTTTTAAAATGAAATGTAATTTTAAGGGGAGGGGCTCTGACGTCACGACGTTGTCTCGGATAAGCACGGCAAGTATAGCAGAGAATGCAGGCCATGCTGACACTCTTTTAGCTTACTGCAAATTTAAACAATGTGAGTGGTATATCCATCAGTAATAAAATACATCTTTTAAAAAGGATAAGGCACCATGGTTTCTTTTTCTCTTATGTAATCCATCCGTGACATGCTGGAGAGAGATTGATACAGGAGGAAGGAGACCCCTGGAGGGGAAAAAGGGAGATATCCATCCATCCATCCATCCATCCATCCATCCATCCATTCCTTTCAAGCATCAGTTACATTTACTGCAGAGACCCCAGGTGGATTAAGATCCAATTACAACTATCCATTTGTCATTTGGAAAACCTCAAACAGGAAGATTATTTCATCAGTCCTGTAAGGACAAAAAGCAAGTTTGCCTATATAGTTAGGCAAAACTTAAGGTGAGCGCATACTAAGATCACACTGCACTTGGATTGTGGGAGTAGTATTTCACCATTGCAATTTACATTGGAAGAGGACTGTTTATGTGCATGTATATATTAACTTTTGCTCACCATTAGATTTCACAAATAATCACCAGCACAGTCATGTATTATTATTTTTTATATGGTGTTATAGGCAATAGACAATCAATTCCTGCATCATATATAATTTATTTTTAATTTTTTTTATTTTTTATTTTATTTTATTCATCAATCTGTTTATTAATTGATTTGGAAATAATAGCATAAGTTATTACAGATAGTTTATATAGGAGCGCGGCACTATTAGTATATTTACAGTCAGGTCCATAAATATTGGGACATTGACACAATTCTAACATTTTTGGCTCTATACACCACCACAATGGATTTGAAATGAAACGAACAAGATGTGCTTTAACTGCAGACTGTCTGCTTTAATTTGAGGGTATTTACATCCAAATCAGGTGAACGGTGTAGGAATTACAACAGTTTGCATATGTGCCTCCCCCTTGTTAAGGGACCAAAAGTAATGGGACAATTGGCTTCTCAGCTGTTCCATGGCCAGGTGTGTGTTATTCCCTCATTATCCCAATTACAATGAGCAGATAAAAGGTCCACAGTTCATTTCAAGTGTGCTATTTACATTTGGAATCTGTTGCTGTCAACTCTCAAGATGAGATCCAAAGAGCTGTCACTATCAGTGAAGCAAGCCATCATTAGGCTGAAAAAAACAAAACAAACCCATCAGAGAGATAGCAAAAACATCAGGCGGGCCAAAACAACTGTTTGAAACATTCTTAAAAAGAAGGAACACACCGGTGAGCTCAGCAACACCAAAAGACCCGGAAGACCACGGAAAACAACTGTGGTGGATGACTGAATTCTTTCTCTGGTAAAGAAAACACCCTTCGCAACAGTTGGCCAGATCAAGAACACTCTCCAGGAGGTAGGTGTATGTGTGTCAAAGTCAACAATCAAGAGAAGACTTCACCAGAGTGAATACAGAGGGTTTACCACAAGATGTAAACCATTGGTGAGCCTCAAAAACAGGAAGGCCAGATTAGAGTTTGCCAAACGATGTCTAAAAAAGCCTTCACAATTCTGGAACAACATCCTATGGACAGATGAGACCAAGATCAACTTGTACCAGAGTGATGGGAAGACAAGAGTATGGAGAAGGAAAGGAACTGCTCATGATCCTAAGCATACCACCTCATCAGTGAAGCATGGTGGTGGTAGTGTCATCGCGTGGGCATGTATGGCTGCCAATGGAACTGGTTCTCTTGTAGTTATTGATGATGTGACTGCTGACAAAAGCAGCAGGATGAATTCTGAAGTGTTTCGGGCAATATTATCTGCTCATATTCAGCCAAATGCTTCAGAACTCATTGGACGCCGCTTCACAGTGCAGATGGACAATGACCCAAAGCATACTGCAAAAGCAACCAAAGAGTTTTTTAAGTGGAATGTTATGCAATGGCCAAGTCAATCACCTGACCTGAATCCTATTGAGCATGCATTTCACTTGCTGAAGACAAAACTGAAGGGAAAATGGCCCAAGAACAAGCAGGAACTGAAGACAGTTGCAGTAGAGGCCTGGCAGAGCATCACCAGGGATGAAACCCAGCGTCTGGTGATGTCTATGCGTTCCAGACATCAGGCTGTAATTGACTGCAAAGGATTTGCAACCAAGTATTAAAAAGTGAAAGTTTGATTTATGATTATTATTCTGTCCCATTACTTTTGGTCCCTTAACAAGTGGGAGGCACATATGCAAACTGTTGTAATTCCTACACCGTTCACCTGCTTTGGATGTAAATACCCTCAAATTAAAGCTGACAGTCTGCAGTTAAAGCACATCTTGTTTGTTTCATTTCAAATCCATTGTGGTGGTGTATAGAGCTAAACATTTTAGAATTGTGTCGATGTCCCAATATTTATGGACCTGACTGTATTTTTAGTCACAGAACACTGTTTAATGAGTTGGTGTGAGTGCCAGCGAACCACAGGTGTATTATATTTTGTTCGTCACTTTATTTATACAATCAATTGGAAAATTTTAGGTTCTTACCATAGTATCTCACAAGTATATATATAAGTTCTATTATACAACATAAATTAAAACATGGCTTGTGTAACAATTGTAAATGCTATATTCTTTTTTTAATTTGATATATTGTTTCACAAAAGTGGAGTTACCTTTTAACGCTTTCAGATTGTTTGAGGAACCTCTAATCTTTAAAACTGATCGCATTCCTGTGACTGGTTAATGTTTATATACCAGTGTCTTCTGGTAAGTGTAATGATGCTTTAGGCTACATTCCCATGGCTTATCTAAGTGTACACCCATGCAAAGGGCTGTATTTGACCTCACAGGATCCACAGATGTTCTGTGCAACCATGTACCATTCATGTCATGTCACAGTGGTTGCATTAAAACAGCTGCTGGTCCCAAAGGTGACAGCCATGAAGGTGCAGGTGTGTGTTTCCAAATGCAGAAAGTGTGCATATACAGTCTTTGCTTTAAAAAAAAAAAATACAGGGTGCACCCATGACACTATTTCTAGAGACAAAAGGGAACTGTATATGTATGGGACTTTCAATAAACTTTCAGTAGTCACTCAACACACAAGTGAATACAATTTATAAAGAAAAAAAATCAATTTTATTCCAATGTATTAAAAATATTAGATCCAGATTTTATTAGATTAGATTGGATTGCTGTATATGGTTGTTAATTAGTTGATGGGTTTCGCAGCTTCCACCACTTCCTGAGAACCAACAAGGCATATACAGTGGGGCAAAAAAAGTATTTAGTCAGCCACCAATTGTGCAAGTTCTCCCACTTAAAAAGATGAGAGAGGCCTGTAATTGGCATCATAGGTAGACCTCAACTATGAGAGACAAAATGAGAAAAAAAATCCAGACAATCACATTGGCTGATTTGGAAAGAATTTATTTGCAAATTATGGTGGAAAATAATTATTTGGTCAATATCAAAAGTTCATCTCAATACTTTGTTATATATCCTTTGTTGGCAATGACAGAGGTCAAACGTTTCCTGTAAGTCTTCACAAGGTTGGTATACACTGTTGCTGGTATGTTGGCCCATTCCTCCATGCAGATCTCCTCTAGAGCAGTGATGTTTTGGGGCTGTCGCTGGGCAACACGGACTTTCAACAGTGGGAGAACTTGCACATTTGGTGGCTGACTAAATACTTTTTTGCACCACTGTATGTGTCAGGGCAGGGCTCTCAGCACATATGTTTTTTGTTAACCTCTTGCCGACCGCGCATAGCCGAATGACGGCTTCACCGCGGCCGGCCAGTTCTGGGTGGATGTCATATGACGTCCTCCCAGAACGCGCTCTCCTGCGCGCCCCAGGGGGGGCGCACCCGGCGATCTCCGTGATCGCTGTGTCCTACGGACACAGCTGATCACGTGATGTGGTAAAAGGCCAATCACAGCGGCCTTTTACCACGTGATCAGCGGTGTCCAATGACACGCTGATCACAGGGAAATGCAAGTGCCGGTTCTCGGCTGCACTTTCCTCACGCTGTCAGATCGTGAGGAAAGTACTGCCGAGAACCGGCAGTTGTCAGAGCGGGCATCGGCACCGATCATCAGGGCACTGATGATCAGTGCCCTGATGATCGGTGCCCAGCAGTGACACCCGCAAGTTCCGCCCAGCAGTGCGCCCACTAGCTCCGCCCACCCGTGCCCAGCAGTGCACCCACCTGTGCCCAGCAGTGCACCCACCTGTGCCACTCTGCAGTGCCACCTACCTGTGCCCAGAAGTGCCACCTACATGTGCCCAGAAGTGCCACCCACCTGTGCCCACCCACCTGTGCCCACCAGTGCCACCCACCTGTGCCCACCAGTGCCACCCACCTGTGCCCACCCACCAGTGCTGCCCACCAGTGCCACCCACCAGTGCAGCCCAGCAGTGCTGCCAGTCAGTGCCACCAGTCAGTGCCCAGGGGTTGTGCCAGTCAGTGCCGCCAGTCAGTGCCCAGCAGTGATGCCAGTCAGTGCCGTCTATCAGTACCCATAATCAGTGTCACCTATCAGTGTCGCCTATCAGTGCTGCATATCAGTGCCGCCTATCCGTGACCCCTAATTAGTGCTGTCTATAAGTGCCACCTATCCGTGCCACCTCATTAGTACTGACTATCAGTGCCCTTTAGTGCTGCCTATCAGTGCCCATCAGTGCCGCCTATCAGTGCCCATCAGTGCTGACTCATCAACGCACATCAGTGAAGGAGAAAAAATACCTGTTTGAAAAATTTTATAAAAGAAACAAATAAACTTTTTTTTCTTCAAATTTTTTGCACTTTTTTTTATTTATAGCGCAAAAAGTAAAGCGCCCAGTGGCGATTAAATACCACCAAAAAAAAGCTCTATTTGTGAGAAAAAAATGATCAAAGTTTCATATGGGTACAATGTTGCATGACCGCGCAATTGTCAATCAAAGTGCGGCAGCGCTGAAAGCTGAAAATTGGCCTGGTAAGGAAGGGGGTATAAGTGCCTGGTAGGCAAGTGGTTAATTGCACGAAAATGTGCGGCCGCTCGGCGTCTAGGCCCAGACGCCGGGAGGCCGCTCATTTGTTTGCAGCCAGCGTGAAGAGGTTAAAAGTGATCTTTGGTTTTGTATCATTTAATTTAATAATAACAGGGCCATTGGTTAAAATATGCCAGTGTTTATTCAGAACTGATTTGATTTGGTTAGATTGGTTATTAAATTTAATAACATGGCGAATCTGTGGTGGACTAGTCTCCGATGTACCCTGAAATAATAGTAATTCTCTCTGGCTGCTTTTAGCATATTGGTAAGCTTTCTTAAGGGATTTCCTACTGTATCCCATTGAAGGAATCTCTCCTGTACATGCTTGTCTTTTAAAGTCACTATCATCGGCACAGTTTTGGCATATTTGCATATAGTGTCCCTTAGGGATACCTTTAATCAAATGTTCTGGATGGGCACTCACAAAATGTAACAACGAGTTGTCAGCTGTTGATTTTCTAAATAAATCTGTTTGCATACATTGTAAATCATCCTTTTTGATGTATGAATCAAGGAAAGGTAAAGTATCTTTGTGCCATGATAAAGTGAATGTCAGGTTAAATTAATTTCAATTAAGTTGGTCGTCAAACTCAATCAAGGAGTCACTAGTACCCACCCAAAAAATCAGTATATCGTCGATATACCTGTGCCAGTGTGTGATATAATGAAGGTATAATGAAGACAATTCTTCACAAGTAAAAATGTAGCGCTCCCACCGCCCCTGGTACAGATTGGCGTATGATGGGCACATGTAGTCCCTTTCGCAACGCCCTGTACCTGGAGGTAGTGGAAGCCATTGAATAAAAATGCATTGTGAGAAAAGATAACTTCCAATATCTCCAAAATAAAGTTGTTATATTCCTCATAGGCTACACTTTTTTCTCTCAAAAACAAAGCTACTACATTTAATCCCTTCTCATGTGAAATGCTTGAGTAAAGGGCCTCTACATCTATAGATGCTAGAATAGTTTGTTCTGTTACATGGAGATTGTCTGGAATCATCAAAAGATGAATAGTATCCTTCAAATATGAGGGTAAGGCCTCAACATGTGGACGTAGATAATCGTCTACCATTATGCTGGCTTTGTGTGTGAGAGAATTTATCCCTGAAATTATAGGTCTACCTGGTGGATCTTGAAAACATTTGTGTGTTTTAGGTATGGTGTAGAAAGTAGGAGTCACCGGGAATTTTACTTTTAAGAAATCTCTTGTATTCTTAGAAATAAGATCATTTAGATATGCTAGATCAATAATAGATTCAAAGTGTTTTTGAAAAATTTAAATATCAAATGACTCTATTCTATGACACCATGCCTGATTTTTTTAAGATTTTGTAACACATGGTAGTATATTGAGTATCTGTCATGATAATAACATTTCCCCCCTTATCTGAGGGTTTGATTGTTATATGATCTCTCCGTTAAAGTTGTTGAAGAGCCTGTCTTTGGGTGTTTTGATAGATTAGAACTTTGAGTACAGATTGGAATTGGTTCAATATCTTTAGTAACTAGCTAAAAAAAAAAGCTTTACTCGGGGGGGGGGGGGTGTGGTAGATGGAAATATATTTGACTTATTTTTGTATTCCTGCTGTGGAGGAGGTTGGGGATAGGTAGATTCGTCTAGGAGTATTTCTCCCTCCTCAAGAAGGAGATCGTCTGGGTCATCCTGTTCTAGGAGAGTCAAATTGATCATAATTTTTTGAGGGACAAAAATTGAGCCCTAACCTTAGCACTGAAAGTTCAGCTTCTGATAAAGAAACATCAGTCAAATGGATGATATTAAAGGTGGATGTCTGTGTGTCCCTATCCAGAATATGTGTCCGATCATGTTGTATTGTAGGTTGAGTGGTAGAATGTGAAGTGTCCTGACTATAGTCCTACAAGTGAGACGAGTGACGTATGTGTCTAAGTTTCTCAAAGGGACAGTACGCTATTGTGACTTAACCTGATGGTGGGACTCTTTTGGTAAAGGTGTACTAGGTAATAAATTGTGTTGAGGGGTGTATTGAATTGAGTGATTAGAGCTTTCCACCTGATTCCCCTGTGTGTTCAGTGAATCATCTGTGTCAGATAATGGTGGGAGTTTTATTTTAATGAGAGGCAACCAGGTAGATAAACTGTTATTGTGAATATCATGTGATTACCATCACTCGTTCCTAGTATATTGGCAGAAGCTTGACCCTGTCCATGTACATAATTGGATCTTGAATAGCTCTGAAATGAAATAACAGATGATGAAGTGGAAGTATTAGAAATATTGCCATCATCTTTATTACCACCATCCTTCTCAGTTTCATGTAAAGATCATTTCTTGTAGTGCCTCTGATTATTAGTGTGCCATTTATAAGCCCTACCAGTCCTGAAGGCAATGACGTCCCTAGAAAATTTCTTATTTTTTGTTTCCACTAAATATTTGTTGTATTTATCAATGGACTCCATGAGTTCTTTATGTTGAGCTTGAAAAATAGAGGATTGTTGATATACACATAGTTTTGAGTATATTAGCTTTATATCCTTATCCAACTCATTCAATTCTGTATCATAATATTGTTTCAACAATTCCAATATATTCAAAGAACATGCTATAAGATTTTGTTCCCATTTATCTGGATGTAATTTTAAGCATCTGGTATTAAATATGTATGGTTGTTTAGGAGTGTTCATATTCTTTTTTTTTAGACCCAGGCTATTATTATTATTATACATTGTTTATATAGCGCCAAAAAGTTTGCTCAGCGCTGTACAATATTGTGGGGGACAGTACATGAGACAGTACAGTAACAGAACAATATACGAGAGGTTCGAGGGCCCTGCTCTTTCCAGCTTACAATCTAGGAGGGAGGGGATAGTGGTACAGGAGGAAGTGGCTGTGGGGGATGGAGTGGTAGGAGGAGTGGAGGAGATCAGCTGTTAGGTGAGGGTGGGGTAGGCTTCCCTGAAGAGATGGGTTTTCAGGGTGTGCCTAAAGGTGAGGAGGGTAGGTGATGGATTTGGGTGGTGAGTTCCAGAGGATGGGGGAAGGCCTGGAGAAGTCCTCCAGTCGGGCGTGGGAGGAAGAGACCAGGGAGCTAGAAAGTAGGAGGTCTTGTGAGAAGCGAAGAGTGCGGGTTGGGTGGTATTTGGGTATCAGGTCAGTAAGGTAGTTTGGGGCAGTGTTATGAATGGCTTTGTACGTCAATGTTAGTAGTTTGAATTTAATGCGTTGGGCAATCGGAAGCCAATGGAGCGAATGACAGAGGGGGGTGGCAGATGCGGAGCAGTTGGTAAGGTGGAAGAGTCTGGCCACTGAGTTCAGGATAGACTGAAGTGGGGATAGTCTGTGACGAGGTAGGCCGGTGAGGAGGGAGTTGCAGTAGTCGAGTCGTGAGATAATAAGGGAGTGAATGAGGCAGCTGACAGCGAGTTGTTATACGCAGTAGTGGCCAGGGCAGGACAGTGGAAGGATACTGTCGTAAAGACGGTCAGCTGCAGAGTGGAGAGGGGCCGGGTTCAGGTTGCGGAGGTTACGGCTAATGATGGTTTGATGTTTGGAGGGGGAGGGTGTTTGAGGACGGGGAGATGGAGAACATAATGAGGTTGTGGTCAGAGAGAGGGAAAGGGGTGTTTGTGAGGTTATGGGGGGGGTGCAGAGATGAGAGAAAACGAGGTCCAGGGTGTTCCCGTCGGTGTGGGTGGAGGACTGTGTGCACTGTGTGAGTGCAAAAGAAGAGGTTAAGTGGAGGAGTTGAAATGTAGCCGGGTTGTTGACGTTGATAGGGATATTGAAGTCACCAAGGATGATGGTGGGTAGCTCAGAGGAGAGGAAGAAGGGTAGCAAGGCGGAAAAATCGTCAAGGAATCGGGATACGGGTCCAGGAGGCCGATAGATTACTACAATCCTCAGAGGGGTGGGAGAGAAGAGCTGGATGCAGTGGGCCTCGAAGGAGGAGAAGGATAGAGAGGGGGGGTTTGGGAGGACCTGGAAGGTGCTCAGTGGTGACAAGAGCATGCCGACCCCACCACCTCTACAACCGCTCGCTCTGTGTGAATAGGTCCAGACGAGACCTACATAGGAGAGTGCCGCAGGGGAGGTGGAGTCAGTGGCTTGGATCCAGGTTTCGGTGACCGCTAGGAGGTTGAGGGAGTGGGAGATAAAGAGGTCATGGATGGTGTTGAGCTTGTTGCAAACCGATCAGGCGTTCAGGAGTGCAACCAAGAATGGAGGGGAGGATGTGGGGAGGAGGGGGACAGGTATTAGGTTGAGGCAGTTTGTGGGAGTAGGAGGGTGCCTAGTGAGGTGGTGAGGGACCAGGGTTCGGGGAGATGTCCCCGGAGGTTAGGAGAAGAAGAAGGGTGAGA